GTGTGTGTGTGTGCGTGTGTGTGTGTGCGTGTGTGTGTATGTGTGTGTGTGTGTATGTGTATGTGTATGTGTCCCACATTTTGTCCCGCACTTTCAACTTGAGAACCACAAAAGCTAGGTGGCTGAAATTTTAGTATAGTGTTCTCCGCCAATGGGTGACGCGGCATATTTAAATTCAGCCTTCCCGTACCCGCGGGTAATACATACGACCCCGTAAAGGTTTTTCGGGTAAAATCAGTATCTCGGGAATCACGAAAGCTAGAAGGCTGAAATTTTGTGAGCATGTCCCCGCCCATGTACTACTCAGGAAGTTTAAATTCAGCTTTCCCCTGCCCGCGGGTAACAAGTACGGCTCCGTGAAAATTTTTGACGGGTAAATTATTATCTCGGGAACTACGGTGTCTGGGAAGCTGAAATTTTAGGGTAATGACCTTCCTGCCCACACTTAACCTTGCCCATTCAAACTCAGCGTTCCCGCTCTCTCTGGTATTACCTGCGGGCTAGTGAAAGTTTTTGCGGGTAAATTATTATCTCGAGAACCACGAAGTCTGGGAATCTGAAATTTTAGGCTAATGATCCCTGCCCACGATCAACTTTGCTTATTCATCTTTTCTGCGCTCTCGGGTATCACCTACGGCCTCGTGAAGATTTTGGCGGATAAACTATTAACTCGGGAATCACGGAAAGATATTCACCCTTCAGTGTTTCGAATTCAGCTTTCATGCGCATGAGCGTGAAATCTCTAAATATTTTTCAATGTTTCAACTATTTTTGCATGGACTAAAGTACAGTGCAGTGAAAATCATTAATAGGCAATCGTTCGATGGGCTGAATTGCACAAAACGCACCGGCTAGTTTGGTGCGCATTGCTATTTACTCTGATATAGAAGAAAAAGGGGGTGGCAACACACTCGGGACTAACGGAGGTATCATAATAAGAATGATTATTCTAATAAGCAGTAATTACTTAGCGTAATAATCTTTAGTAATTCCTCTTGCTTTTCAGGTTTGATTGGGAAACACAACAGTAGCATTGAGGTATGATTTTAAAGTCTTACCTGCGCGTAGAAAGTTTCGATCAAATATATTATTCTTGTTTTGAGCAGCGCCACATCTGTCGACTCAGATCCGCAGCGACCCGCTGACACCGCGACATTGTTGCTTAGTTGAAATAACTGAATTCTTGCGCAGCACAGTTACTGTGTTTTGCAGTACTTTTATTTCTGAGGATATTAAATTTTAGATGAAGAATCTTTAAAAATTTAATGTGCTGCGTTCAGCATGTACTGCTTGCCTTTATGTTTTTTTTTTTTTCAGCTGGATTTTGTTGCGGTGAATAACGTTAAAAAGAATATCCCTGGTAAGCCGGCTTTTTCGGTTTAGAGTATAATACTTGAAGAATACAACAGACTTGTGTTTTGCACTGAATTATTTACTGAAGATAGAGTAAAAATTTTCATGGGATTGGGTTGTTTGCGTGTGTGGATCGCTGTGTGGCGTGGTGCGTAGACTGGAGGGCCGATTAGATAAATAATTCTTAATTTTATGTCTTACTCACTGCAACGTAGACAATAGCAATAATACACAAGACGTGATGCTTGGGCTCTGACGAACAGGTTGGCCTGCTGAGCAGGAGATTCGACAACGGCGTTCCGAGGTAGAGTAGTCCTTTCGAGAAGAAGGGAGCCGAGTTTCTGTCGTGTCCACAAATAGGGTCGGCGAGAGTAGTTGCTGGCGTGCCGGGGTTGATGAAGTGGTCGTTGGTCCAGGAAAACTGAGGCTGATGTTG